CCATAAACGCTGGAAAGATAAGTGTTCTCAGTCTGCATTCCTGACCAAAGGACGTCGCTCGGTAGTCAGCTTAAAGAAGTAGAGTACGCCTAGTACCTCAGAGCGATACTGCTGCCGAATGGACAAAGCAAGGATGGCATAGCCTCCCAAATAGATGCCTCCCGCAGGATTCTCAGTCCTTGGACTTTGTCTAGGAACCAACATGACATCTCAACAAGGACCGGCGTGTGCCGCGCATCCGTTCAATCAGTCCTTCTGCATGTACGGTCGTGACTGTTAGGCCGTGCATGCGATGGCTGGGCGGAAACTGGACATGTTTGACCACCGCTGCCTGAGAACCGTTCTTCGAATGAAGTACACCGACTTTGTCTCAAATGATAGTCCCCATTCGCTGCAACAACATCGCGAGGATATCTCAGGCTATTCAAGAAAGACTGAGGTTGTTTGGACACGTTCTTCGTCGTCTGCCTCATGGCCTAAATGCTGCTGCCTTCGACCCGCCTTCGTCGTCCACCCGGAGGTATCAAAAAAGAAGTAAACCCAAAATCTGGACCGAGCCCGTTTGTCGAGTACCTGAAGTGGTTCTTGGACCTTGTGTATTCCGTCTCCTTCTTCAGAGGAGCTTTCCAGATCTGCTGCAGTAGATTACCTCACGTGAAGGTATGATGAGCGAAATAATCTATGACGGCTAGATCAGACGCACATGTACCAAGTAAAATTACAAGTAAATTAACAAATCCGTCTGACTCATCACTGAAGATGAGACTTGTATGTACACGCACTACCCCCACTCAGAACATGGAGTTGTCAAGCGTTGGATGGCCGCTCTCGAAGAAGCTCAGGCGCCAGAAATCGTCCGGAAAATTTGTAATTTGCATTTTTTTCCCCAGAAGGGAAGTATAACGATGATGAGTCTGGGGGGTCTGGCTGTGATGTCTGCGTAATGCACTGATGTGTCTGCTGAAAGTTTTGCTTGATTTCAACAGGAGTCGCCCCAGGGGAGGGTAAATGGCTGGTTCCCGCACTACGGCAACGCGTCTGCGCACAAGTAAGAACTCGCAATGAATGTCGCTTCCAATTTTAAAATTAATTCCGACGAGTACGACTGTAATTCTTATCTTTTTACTAAAATAAAAAACCGCGCGTGAAACGGTTGACGACTACTATGCAAGTCCTGAGAGCTAGGTCGAACTGGACAAACTCAAGAAACGCAAACGCCTGAGTTTGTCGTCCCAAATGCAACAGTGGTACAGTTGAGAGCACTCTTCAAGTTGAAAAAGAGGGAGATCTACAGGACACAATACACAAATTAATTCGACTTTGCAGACGGCTTTCCTAACATACTACGTGCAAACACTTACCTTTGGCAGCTTTGTGCGTGAAGGGTGTGAGAGAATCGCCGCCAACCATATCATCCTGGTCACCGAGAAGGCAACTGGTTGTGCGGTCTAGATTGAGGGTTGGGAATTTATCGGGTCGTTGCGTCGAATCAGAGTCAAGGCAACGGATGAGACAACGCATGCGCCCGAGGGCCTCCTGAGAGGGTAATGGTTTGGAAAGCAGCTGGTCCGCAGACTTAACATAGACAAGACTGGGTAAAACATCAGTGACGAGTAC